CATTTCTATCTTTAGCCATCAATTCCTAGAAATTTGTACAGTATAATGACTGAGCATAATTGTCATGGTGAATCTAATAATATAAATCTTATAATCTTGAACTATAGAGTGAATTTCACTTTTTATCCATAGTCTAACATTTGTGACAGCAATTACCCCATTTAATAGGAATTCCTCCTGTTTACTCTCTTTAGTCTAACTCTAATATCTGACAATGGTACAAATATAGGGACAGTACTGAACGCATTCACCAGTTAACATTTCCCATTTAGTGAAACATTTGCCAGTTTATTCAGTTCTATTTGGTAGGACTCGTTCATCAGGTCTACATGGCCATGCGCGACTTCAACAATCCTAGCTGCTTCTACTACGATCTTTGTTGTAGCTACTGTCCTTGCTTCATCGATCGCTTGGCTGAAACCTGAAGAGAGAAGCTAGCGCATGCACGCTTGTCCTGTACATGCATGGCACACAGAAATTTTATGCTACGTACTAGTACTAGAACAAAAACAATAATTACGAAAAATACAACCAAAATACTCTACTTAAGTGGACTACTGCTACTAGTGCCCTATTATGCTCTGGCTAGCTCTCGTGTTTAATTCTGTCTGGCTAGCAGAAGGTGAGAACATTGTGGCAGCAACAGTTGTGCCACAAAGGTGCAGATGAGGACCTGAGAAGGTAGTCGGATATTAAATATGCCAGGGCAAAATATGTTTCTGATATTGCAAGCCACGTAGAGCTGATAACTCGGTGCAACCTTACAGAATGGGTCAAGTTTAAAAGGGGGTGAAAGCTGACACAACTTTTACTAAATGGGATAAGTGCGAAGAATTTCTGCTAAATGGGCCAATTGTTAAACTAGGGGTTGAAAAATGGAATTCACACTAAACTATACGCATTTCTAGAAACCGGTAGTTATTAAAGATAGAAAGAAAGGTTTGACTTTGGACAAAACTAGAATGACAACTAATATGAAGAAGAGGGAGACCCTAAATGTACTGCAATTTTTACAGGGGCCACGGATCCACTGCAATATTTCCCCTCAAATAAGCCAACCATAGTGATTGCCGATTTTGTCCCAATACAACTCTCCCTAACAAATGGGCCACGCCTGCCAGTGGGTCATTTTTTTTCCTCTCTCATTTGCATCTTTTCGGCAAGGCTGCGGTGGCAGGTGGCGGCGGCGCGGATGTCCAGCGACGGCAGCACGGAAGTCCGGCGGCAGCGGTGGTGTTCCAGCAGACGGCAGTGGTCCAGTGGCGCGGCGGTCAATGGAGGCGGCGCACTGACATGGCAAGCATTGAAAATTTATGGGGAGGGTTGCAACTCTCCACTATCTGAGGAGATAATTTTTTGGGTTTAGGGAGACTGTTGAAGCAGGTTTTTTGCCTCAACTCTCCCTATACGTGCAATTTCTTGGGAATAGGGAGTAGTTTGCTGAAGATGATATAAGTGTACTACTACTAGTGCACTATTATGCGCTAGCTAGCTCTGGCATTTAGCTGTGTCTCGCTAGCAAATGGTGGGAACATTGTGGCTGCAACAGTTGCCGCACAACGGTGCGGACGAGGACCTGAGAAGGTAGTCGGAGATTAAATATGCTTCTGATATGGCAAGCCACATAGACCTGATGACTCGGCCCTCCTTACAGAACTAGTAAACATGTACGTGCAACGCACGTCTCAATCGACATCAAATAATTGTTAATAAATAGTTGTCTAATATTTACATAGTTTTTCATCCGTACATATCTTTATTACTGATTTATAATGTTTTTCGGATGGAAGCAAAACTAAATTACGGATAAATAGAGAATGTGCAAATTAGTTCAAGATCAATAAATTTATGTAACTTATGTTGCTAGTACGGACACCCTAGTAGTCACTTATTTGCTACTATTTTCTTAGCCATATCATCCTGATTCTACCCTTTGTCCCATCATAGAAATTGACACATCACCCATGGCTGCAACAGTCTCAACGTGATGAAGAGCCAAATCAGTTTCCTCCTCCGTCTTACACATGACCTTGCTTCCTGTCATGTCACAAAAGAAGAAAACAGTCCCTTTCTCTGTAAGATTGAACAGAGTCAAGCCATAAAAGAAAATGGACAAGCTGATTTTTTCATCATGAAATTTTGTGTTTTGAAATAGTTACTAAATATGTAATGTTTAGTCCAGCAGCCAAATGGTTATACCCCAGAGTTGTTTACATCATTGCTTCACTCATGGTTCAGTGCCATGATGGCATAAAAGATATCTTAGAAAAAGCCGGATACATAGTAATGCCTAATTAACAGATGGTCAAAGCAATTATCAAAAAACATGAAGAGCAGGTTAACCATTGTTACATCCCAAATCTATGAGAACATCTGTAAATAATTATCTGTAATGGGGTGTTTAGAGTACACCTGCTTTGGTTGTACTGGGGTGTGGTCGAGAGTGGATGTTCGCATCCATTTCGAGGCTTCTTGTACATTGTATTTTCTCTCTTCTATAAAAGTATGCCTTTGGCGTACTCTCAAAAAAAAAAGAATATCTGTAAATTGTAGAAGAAAATGGCGCAGCTATGAAAAGAAAACAAAGCTTTAACCTTGGTGTAGTAAAAACTAAAAGGTAACTTATCCCTACAGTCTAATAACAGAACAACACATGAGTAAACAACTTGCTGTTTTCTGTAAAGGGTGAATTTCATTGGCAGCATGTCTGAACTATCATAATAAAATTAGTCAGGCCTCCTAAATTTTGTTACTCAAGAAACTATCTGCAGGTCCCTGAAATTTTGCTATGCATTTTTGGAAGAGAAGAGCACCATTTCAAATTCACAATACTGCGTGATAGTTTGTTTCTCGAGCCTAAACAAAAGCAAAACTTCCTCTAGACACTTGCTTAATGTAAGAGCAGAACAAACTTTCATAATTTCAAACTGAAGATTTCAAAGTCATACACATGGCAGATAATTCATACTTTAGGAGGAAATTAGTTTGCCTCCAAATCCAACAGCAATCAACAAAAATACACATGGAAAATGGCATTTAATAGTACACTGTAAACAGAACACTGAATGGATAATGATACTAAAATGTGTTTACAAAGGTCAACAGAATACAGATCTTACCAACGAACAAAGATGAAGTGATGAACTGACCGGTTTCAGTGAAGTGGCTAATGTCATGACCTCGGTTTTCTGCTGAAGCAACTCATTTTCTCTTTCAGATAGCTGAACTGCTAAAATACCCACCTATGGAAAGTACCAAAATATTGAAGTGTTTACAAACAAAGAGATCATTTAGGCATGTATATATATGTAGGTCGACTGGTGGAGACTTCTTTGAATAAAAACTCACCTGCTACTATTTTTTACACAATGAAACTGTACGTGCTTCTTAAATATGTGCAAGCTAGTTGTGTATTTCATCGATTGTCAAGAGAGAAGGCATCGAGGAAGGAACCAACCTGGACATGATGATAGATAGGCTAAGAATTTAAATTGTGAATGAAGTGTACTATGATTTTCATCAAGGTCCGGTATTTCTTGTATATATCAGCAAGAGCACATCAAGTGCTTCTGAGTTTGAACAACATGTTAAATTAAACCAGCATTCCTTTCATCCAAGAAATGGAATGGAAAGTAATGGGGAGATTGAGAGTAAGCATGACTCACCACGGTATATCAGAGATGCAGGTCCTGAATTAGTTGGACTTGAGGGCGAGGAATTTTTTCCACCTGAGTGCGAGGAGATGTACCCCCAAATTCGTACCACTACCATAGACCTGCACGTGCGTAACATCATGGCAGCAAATTACAGTTTTCTAAAATATTGGCAATGTAGCATCATGGCTGCAAATTACATTGCGTACAAGTGGGGTCAGAACAAAAGCTACAGTCAAAAATGGGGCCCAAAATGGAAATACAATCCAAAATAGAAAATCAATGAAAAGTTGAAAACTGTAGTAAGATGAGGATTTGCACTTGGCAATGTAGCTTACCTACAACTGAGGTTTGAACAAAAGCTACAGTTATAAGCACATGAGTTGGTTGTAGAACTGATCTAAATACTTCACCATTGATTAGTATCTCGTTGAGAGTTCACCTCTTCTGGTGCCACAGACCAGCACCCTCGGCGCTCTCCCTGGCTACACAAAGCATGCTCGTATTGATCAATTCCGCAGTTGTATAGCTACAGTTTCCGCCCCTCTTGGTTCCTCGTTCGCCACAACCCGCCTAATTCCTGCTGTGTGAGTCAGCAAGCAACAGTGCTCACCTTCATCCAAATACATAGATTAAAAAGACCAATGTGGGGATGAAAGGCCGCATAGTATGCTGCTCGGAGAACATATGAACCTAACTTTGCTTCAGAGGTAAAATTAGCAATTCCTAGTCATTATCTGCTTTGACTGCAGTACCAAATTATCAGTTGAACTAACTTAAAATTTATAATTGGTGCAATACCTATATAAATTGAGAAGGCGGTGAAGTCCAACTATTAGATCCAACATCACTGAATCCTTGAGATCTTAAACGTGACCTACTTGCTCATAGTTCCGACCTACTTGCTCATAGTTAAGATGATTACCATCTGCAAGAGGACATAAATAGTTCAACGGAGAAGAAATTTGTCAGAATATATATGTGTGTCATGGCCGAAAGCTTATGTAGCAAGGTTCTTCATGCATGCAAATCTCCCAAAAATCAATCCATATACCTGTTTCCAACCACTGGTACGTGCATGTTGCTATAACCGAAAGCACTTCTGACATAGCAACATTGACCAATCACTACAGCACCTAAATCTGTTTGCTGTTGGAAACCTCTTAGGGATCTTAAACTCAACTCTAAAATTAGTCAAAGACCTTCTAAGATTAATATTACACTTAATGGGATCAACTACAAAACTCAGCTAGATTGATTTGTACAGCAAATTGCAAAGAAGATTACTTATATCAATCAATAAGTGTAAAAGGATGTGGCCAGTTTGATACATCAGACTTTTTATGTTCAGTCAGGATATGGCCAGATCGATTCATCACAATAAATTCCAGTGGAAAGGGCACTCCGAACCAACAAAAACATGAACCGTGATACGGCTGGCCGGTTGTAGATCGCCACTGGCAAATATCTCCTGGTTAAGTGAAGCGTGTATCAGCACTACACTGAAAATATCAAATGTGAAGCAACACTACACTGAAAAAAATATACTGGACCTCGTGAGATACTGAGAGAACAGAATCACAAGCATCAACTTAGAGGATCAGAGAGATACATGGTGAAAGTTAGTCGGCTTGATGGCGAGGGCCTCACCGTATAGGTGGCCACCGTCGAAGTGGGGGATCAGAGTCAGCCGCGACGGAAGCAGAGTTCAGCGGCGACGGCGGAGGAGCGGAGGGTCGGCGGCAGAGGCCGACTGGAGCGGGGGGTGACGGGCAATTTGAGCGGCGGCGGAGTGGAGGATCGGCGAGTGGCGGTGGTAGCCCGTGCTGGCGCGTCCACTGGGCAACACAGAAGGAGCGGGCGGCGGCAGAGGCCGACTGGAGCGGGCAGCGACGGGCGATTAGAGCGGCGGCAGCAACCCGTGCCGGCGCATCCGCTGGGCAAGGAGCGGGCGGCGCACCGTGCACAGGAGGAGAGGGCGGAGGTTACACAGGAGAAGCAGGATAGAGATCGTGGTTCGTTCGTGCGGAGTAGTTTTCTTTAACGAAGAGGCATCTACTATCAGTCGACGGGTTAGTGGCTTGCTAGCGTTAAACACAGAGAGATTGTGAACCATTAGATCGTGTGATTAGGCGGCTGAGATTATTTGGATCTGCCTCTTTCTTTCTTTTATAGGGGTAGTAGATGGGTAATGTTTAAAAGGAGGTGAAAGCTGGCACAACTTTTACTAAATGGGGCAAGTGGGAAGAATTTCTGCTAAATGGGCCAATTGTTAAACTAGGGGGTGAAAAATGGAGTTACACTAAACTATGCGCATTTCTAGAAATCGGTAGTTACAGATAGAAAGAAAGGTTTGTCTTTGAACAAAACTAGAATTACAACTAATATGAGGTACAGGGACCTAAATGTACTGCCATTTTTACAGGAGCCATGGAGCCACTGCAACATTTCCCCTCAAATAAGCCAACCATAGGGATTGCCCATTTTGTCCAGCGAAAACCAGCTGGGTTAGGCTTACACTTTGCTTATTTTGTGTGCGATGGAAACTTTTCGGTTCCCACAAAAGAAATAAACATTTAATACAAAAGCAAGATTATCTACCAAAAGCTGCGCACAACAAAAGAAAACATTGCTTAATTCGTGCAGATAGTGCATCTTATCGTTCTGACAATGGCCCAGGAAATAGTATGGCACGAAAGACGCAATGCATGAAAGCTGAATCCTGGGTATGAGATAGCCTACCAATGGTGTGCAATATTTTCCCCTCAAATAAGCCAACTATAGGATTATTTTATTTCCTTGGTGCACATTTGCACCGTTTGAACAATGGCTGTGGAATTATTTTTAATAGGGGTTAGTTACACCACATGGTGTGCAAGATACAGCACATGGCGCACTAATGAAATCATTCATGTGCAACACACCATAAGCAAGCAGAAACTTTGGTTAGGGAACAATGCGGTGAAGTTAAGCTGGACACTGTCTTTACTTTTGTTATTTTGTCTGTTGAATGAAGCCTTTTTTATACATCTAATCAAACAGAAACCACGGAATTTAAATGTGGTGACAGGGAAGCAGTAAGTGCTGAATTTATGGACAGAAAAGTAAATGCTAGCGAGATAAATGCAGGCACAATGTTCACCGTCCTCAAACAAATACAGTAGTTATTTTGAAACAACAAATCAGGTAGATCTAAAGAATACTAGCTGGTAGCTGCACATGATCAAATGAAATAATAAATAATGAAAACCAGAATTGTAATGAAAGATGGAACACATTCTTTTGTGATATTAACTTGCACAGCATAATAAAAGCATAGATGTAACAAATCTACATCCACTCAGTACAAGTACCCAAAGTACTCTCTGCTGCCAGTACAAGTTGGTTTACCTCTGATACTTCAGTTTGTAAATCATTTTGCTACGAAAGGATATGAAAGCTCTTAACGAAATTACCTGGTTGATGAGAAAATGCCCAGATGCTTGGAGATCCCACTGGGAAAGTAGGTGAAACAATGACCCAGGGGTCTTCCAGAGCCGCCAAAATTAGCCACGCCTTTTACAGCCTTGTTCCTCATATCAAGAGCAATAACACAAGCCTTATCCCCAAGGGTATCAGGCATGTGCATAAGGTAAACAACATCACTGTCATGCAAGCTAAGAGCAGGATAGCCTAGACAAGTTCTCTTGAGGTTTGGCTTGGTATCATCACCACGCTCCTGCAGATTAGGTAGTAGCATTTGGGCATACACAGGGTTATCCAATGGTACATCATCTGGGCATCTGATAGTGCAGTCCTCCTCCCAGTTGCTGCTATCAGAAGTGGAACCAATGCTTGAAATTTTTAATTTTTTTGTTGCAGCAATCCAACCTTGAGATATCGGGGAGCTTCCAGTGTCTGAGCCCGGTCTGACGTTATTGTGCATCTCAAAATACTTGATGTAACCTTGGAGAACAGTGATGTTCTGAACATACAACGGATAACCAATGAGCGGATCGGGCGACAGCGGCGAAGGTAGCGGGATGTAGCGAAGACTCTGGTTGCTGTCAAGGAGGAGAAGGTCACAGATGATAATGCCCCGCCCGAGGTCGACCCAACCCACTGAACCAAGCTCCCCTCCAATGGTGATCCCCTTGTTGGGAGACTGGAACTCAAAATCCTTGGGCGAATCAAGAAGCATCAACTTGGTGCTCCATGCCTTTGTCTTGGAGTTGTACAGGTGGAGATTAAAGTGCCCGTCGGTGTACTCCCGCTCAATGAAGGCCCTGCGGAGCACGGCGATGAAGAACATCTCTTGGTCGTGGCAGTGCAGTAAGGCAACCTCTTGGTCGTAGATCCTGAAGTAGGGGGGACAGTGGACGAGCTTGACCGACGGCGGCGTCTTCTTGGTGCCGGCCTGGTAGACGAAGTAGCGAATGTTCTTGGTGTACACGTGCTGGCGCTCGGGGCAGATGGTGATGCGGAGCAGGACGAGGCCATCCTCCGTATAGGAGATCTTGGGCATGTCAGCGAATGCATCGGGCTTCAGATCTGGGCAGTGGACGGTGAAGCAGGAGACGCGCGGCGGGGCAGCCGGCCAGAAGGTGACCAGGATGCGCTTGCCCTTCTTCTTGGTCCTGCTCCTGCGGCCACGGGCGGTGGTGGCGTTGGTGCGGTCGCTGAGGTAGCCGAAGGAGTCGATGAGGATGGTCTCCGGGAGAGGAGAATCCGGATCCTCGGGGTGGATAGGCGGAGGGATCTGGAGTAGCCGGAGTTGGTGGTCATCCATCACCATGGCAACCGAGGAGGTCGATGCGGAGGTGGCGGCCGGAGGAGGAATGGGAGTGGAACCCTAACGCAGGGAGGAGAGATGAATCTATGGATGGGCTCGCTGGCACACACTGAACGAGTCGATATTTTATCTCGGGGACTCCGACGCACAGAAGAGGAGGCAACGACTGGGCCGGCCCGACTCTGTAGCGCTCATTGTTGCATCATTCTCAAAAACAAAAAGCTCATTGTTGCATTCTCTATACAAGAGGTCATTGTTGCATTCTATAAAAAAAGGTCAATTGTAGCAACCTTTTTGAAACAAATCTAAATTTTCTCGAAATATGAATATATTTTATTGTAAAAGAAAATATTTACTGAAAACGCGAACAACTTTTCAAATTTCTGAAAAATGAACTTACAATTTTCTAAAAAAAATTGAATCATATAAAAACAATTTTTTAAATGCGTTTTTACTGTGAACAAATTCTGAAAATACGGATTTCGTAAATTCCAAACAATATTTGAAAACACACAAAAAATCTGCTTTTTTAATCTAAAAGCATTTTCTAAAAATTCCAAACATTTTTAAAAAAGGTAACTTTTTTGAAAACATAGAAAAGAAAAAGGAAACAAAAAAGGGACACAGACCGATCAGGGGCCTTGTAGAAGGTTTCCAAAATCGGAACCAACATTCAATTTATCTAGCGTTAAATTGGTCGGCCAACTCGGTCGCTCATGTGCCAATAGGCGACTATTTGAGGCATGTTAGTCAAATACTAGTAAACACCATTTATCTCTGCTCTTATAAAAACAAGGATCATTTACATTTCAGTCCCTAACTCGAACCCACTACTCGACGCACAGAAGAGGAGGCAACGACTGGGCCGGCCCGACTCTGTAGCGCTCGGTACTGTAGCAATCAGCTCATTGTTGCATCATTCTCAAAAACAAAAAGCTCATTGTTGCATTCTCTAAAAAAGGTCAATTGTAGCAACCTTTTTGAAACGAATCTAACTTTTCTCGAAATATGAATATATTTTATTGTAAAAGAAAATATCTACTGAAAATGCGAACAACTTTTCAAATTTCTAAAAAATGAAGTTACGGTTTTCTAAAAAATGGAATCATTTAAAAAACAATTTTTAAATGCTTTTTTACTGTGAACAAATTCTGAAAATGCGGATTTCGTAAATTCCAAATAATATTTGAAAACACACCCAAAAATGCTTTTTTAATCTAAAAGCATTTTCTAAAAATTCCAAACATTTTTTTAAAAAAAGGTAACTTTTTTGAAAACATAGAAAATAAAAAAGAAACAAAAAAGGGACACACACCGATCCAGGGACCTTGTAGAAGGTTTCCAAAATCGGAACTAACATTCAATTTATCTAGCGTTAAATTGGTCGGCCCAACTCGGTCGCTCATGTGCCAATAGGCGACTATTTGAGGCATGTTAGTCAAATAGGAAACACAATTTATCTCTGCTATTATAAAAAAACAAGGATCGTTTATATTTCAGCCCTTAACTCGAACCCACTACTAAGATTTACCCATAATTTTGAAGCGTGTTCAAATTTCCCCCTCTCCCGTTAGGTGCCTTTATAAAAATGTCCTTCTGTGCCATTTCCGTCTGGTCAAAGGCCTCTGACCATCAATAGGACGTTTTCTAGACATATTTGCCCTTCGATGCATATATAACTTACACATGGACCTGCCCAAAGTTAAAAAAACTCACTATCTCATCCCCTCTCTTTAACTTATAGATGGACCCCAACAAGCATAAAAAATAAAAATAAAACACACTCTCTCTCTCTCTGACATGTGGACCATGGGACTCACTGCGAGGGTCAACAACGGTCCACACGTCCCCAAACGCATGTCCGGCCGGCTGCGCTCGCCGACGGCTCGCCGTACGTGGCTATAGACGGTCGCGGGAGGAGAGTGTGAGGCGGGCAGTATAGTTGTGTGAGGCACTCCTTGCACACCAATTCATCTTCACGGGCACGTCACTCGCAGGTAGGTGGGCGCGCGCAGACGACCGAGCTAGCCGAGGTCAATCATGGCGGCCAGCTTCGGGCAGGGCGCTCCGGGAACGGGGTCGAGCAGTGGAAGAGGGGAGTAGGTCCACAAGATTTCAACGACGATGCATTGAGGTCGAGGAGGTCAACGGTGGCTCGGGGCGGACGAATTTAGGAGCTCAAAAGCACATCCATGGCGGAGATCAGAGTCCCGTCCGTCGTCTATAGGCGGCCCTAGGCCCGATTGAGGCGGCCAGAGGGGCACATGGCCATGCTCTTTGGTCTCGATCTAGCCTTCGACCGAGACAGCTAGCATCGACGTCCTCCGCGGAATGTCTCATGCGCTCCCCGTGCATGGCGTCACAGTCCGCCGCCACCCGCCTCGACCACCACCTGCAAATCCTTCGACAAACCACCCCGAACTCGTCCCCTTGGTCTTCACATGTAGGCACGCCGCCCCTCATCGGCGACGGCCACCTGGCGAGCCTTGCCTTGCTTTGGAGCGCGTGGACTAGTGTGGACACTGCAAGTGGGTCCTTGGCACACATGTCAAGGAGAGAGAGGTTATGAGAGAGGGAGAGTTTTTTATGTTATAAGTGAGTGAGAGTGAATAAGACAAAAAAATTCTCTTTTTCCTAGGGTAGGACCCGCATGTAAGTGACAAGTGAATAGAGGGGCAAATATGTCCAGGAAACGCCCCATTGATGGTCAAAGGACTTTGACCGGGCGGATATGGCACGGAGGGCATTTCTGTAAGGGCACATAACGGCACAGGGGGCAAATTTGAGAATGCTTTGATATTAGGGGTAATCTGTGTAGTAGGTTTGAGTTAGGGGCACAAATGTAAATGTCCCTAAAAACAATGTTGGGTGTAATTGGTTTTGTTCCCTGGATCAATTTCGGACCTCCTACATACATGATCTAAACCAGGTTCTACACTTTGTTTGATTGCCCACAAATCCCCACACTACATGGCAGCACAAACGCAAGCACGACATTTGGTTGTGGGTATGTGTAACGCCCCGGATTCGATGCGCCAGGTGTCCGCCAGTTATTCGATGTCCTTGCCATGTCATTTGCTTGCGTGTTGCACTTTGCCATGTCATCATCTGCATTTCATATCATGTCGTCATGTGCATCGCATTTGCATACGTGTTCGTCTCATGCATCTGAGCATTTTCCCCGTTGTCCGTTTTGCAATCCGGCACTCCTATGTCACCCGGCGTCCCCTTCTTGCCTCTTTTCGTGAGCGGGTGTTAAACGGTCTCAGAATGGACTGAGGTTTTCCAAGCGGCCTTGGTAGACCGCATGTCAAGTTTCGTGCCATTTGGAGGTCGTTTGATACTCCAACGGTTAACCGGGTAACCGTTAAAGCCTCTTTTGTGTGCAGCCCAACACCCCTTCCAAAGTGGCCCAAAACCCAGCAAACTCCCCTCCATGCTCTCGGTCGTTCGATCACGATCGTGTGGGCGAAAACCGCACCTCATTTGGACTCTCCTAGCTCCCTCTACCTATATATAGACCTCCCCCTCCGAAATTTCAGTGCAAACCCTAGTCCTCTTCCTCTCGCGTCGCCAACTGGGCCCACGCCCGCCTCTCGCGCGCCTCCCCGGAGGCCCGATCCGCCGCCACCATCTCCGCCTCCCCTCGCCGGCGCCGCCATCTCCGGCAGCCTCGCCGGCGACCTCCGCCGCCTCCCTCCGCCGGTCGCCGCTGCCGGCACCGCCCGCGCCTGCTGCGCCGACGCCCCGGTCGCCCCTCGGACCCGCGTCGCCGCCTCGGCACTCCATCGGCCGCCGCCACCTCACCGGGCTCCGGCGCCGCCCGCGCACCTCCGCCCCGCGCCGGTCCCCTCCGGTCCGGATCCGGTGGGATCCGGCCGGATCTCACTCCGCCCGGCCACCTCGACCTCCCCGACGGCCTCCTCCGCCCGCGTCTCCGGCCGCCGTCGTCAACTCCGGCGAGGTCCGTGGATCGGGACGAGATCCACCAAGCCCCCGATCCAAACGCCTCCGTCCCGGATCGCCCCGTCCACTTTGTCCCCGAGGTGAAATTTCCACTAAGTCCCCGAATCTGTGACATTTTCATGCCATGTTCATCGCATCATAACTTGTTGCATACTGCTCCGTTTCGTGCGTATAATATGTCAAAATGTTCGTTATAAGATGCTCTTCATTTCATTCCATTGCATCATGTTCATTTGAGCTCAGCTTGATGCCCGACTCATTGTTGCAAGAGTGCTATATGATGTTAATCTGCTGAAACTGTTATAACTTGATGATTTGTCATTTTTGTTGCATTTGATGTGTGCGTCTTATGAGCATGAGGTCTACATGTGTTTTGTGCTATGTCATGCCATCTTTACAGTGGTGTCATCCTTGTATTTTTGTGATTCCTGTAGTGAGTGCATCAAGCTTGCTAAGTAGGGTACTTGCTGTTGCTGTTTTGCATGTCTGAATCTGCTATATCATGATGCTATGTTAACCTGCTTCCACAAGTCAATCTATGCATAATCTGGAGATGTTTACTAAGGATGTTTTGTTATACATATCATGCTCTATCCATCCATGCCCCTGGTTGCATTTATAGCTTGTTGTAGCTTGTTGTAATCTTGCTCTCAAATTGCTAAATAATGTTGCTGTAAGCCTGTTAACATTAAGTTCAATGTTTCCATGATTGTTGTTAGTGATCCATGCACCCTATGAACTTGTTCTTGTCATGCTTAGCTTCATAAACATGTCTTCTTACTGTGAGTTGCCTTGCCATGCCATGTATTGCTCTGTGGTGAGTGGTTCAAGCTCACCAACATGTCTACTTATTGTTGTTCCTGCCATGTATGAATCTGTAATATAACTTGCTATGTTTACATGGGTGCCATCATATCTTCTGATCCTTTTTGGCTTATGGTCATTAAAGGACATTTGTTTTATGTAATTAGTAGATTCATGCCATGCCTTTGTTCGCCATGATAAGTTCCTGTAGCATGTTGTTTGATAGCTCTAAA